GAACAAAAAATCATACCAATGTGAATGAGGGGGAGTGCAGAGTGGAGACCCAAAGCCCATCTGTAGAAAATTGGACATCTCCTTACAGAAGGGTCACAAGGAAAAGATGAGCCAGTCAGAATTCAACATAGCACTGATAAGACACACAACTTTCCTCTAGTTCTTTAATGCTTCCTTTCCCCCACCCCCACTATCATGACCTCAATTCTACCTTACAAATCAGGCTAGACCAGAGCGCTGGAAGCACAGGGAATCCAGGACAGATAAATTCCTCAGGACCAATAATGAGAGTAGCGATACCAGGAGGGTAAAGGGAAGGTGGGGTAGAAAGGGGAAACTGATCACAATGATCTCCATATAACCCCCTCCCTGGGGGATGGACAATAGAAAAGTGGGCAAAGGGAAACATAGGTCAGTGTAACACATGAAAAAATATTGATTTATAAATTATCAGGGTTTCGTGAGGGAGAGAGGGTGGGGGAAGGAGGGGGAAAAAAAGAAACGTTGATACCAAGGGCTGAAGTAGAAAGGAAATGTTTTTAAAATGATGACGGCAAAAATTGCACAATGTGCTTGACACAATGGATGCATGTATGTATTGTGATAAGAGCTGTATGAGCCCCAAATAAAATGATTTTCAAAATAAATAAATAAATAAATAAACGTTAAAAAGCAAAAAAAAGGACATTTGAATATCTACCTTGAAGTACAACACTGTCTAGAAATAGCTAGGTGCATACAAGGAAATCCAGTCAATACAATTATTATCCAAATTTATGCACCAAGCACTGATGCTAGTGATGCAGATATCGGAGAATTATACCAACATCTCCAATCTGAAGTGGATCAAACAGGCAATCCAGAGGCATTGATGATTATTGACAATTGAAATGGAAAAGTTGGAAACAAAGAGGAAAGTAGTTGGAAAAATATGATTTGGTAATAGAAGTGAATCTGGAGATCACATGATAGAATATTAAACAATTGTATTGGCATATACTTCACATATTATACAAGTTAATCGTTCAATCACATTAATCAGTCATCACAACAATTAATCTTAGAACACTTTTTTCTCATACTCATTGCTATCAGCTCCCCATTTCCCCTATCCTGCACTCTCATGCCCTGGATAATTATCAATCCAATTACTAGCTCTATGTATGTGCTTATCCTGAATTTCACTTAGAGAAAATCATACAAAACACAAACAGGAGGCAAAAACAAACAAACAACAAAAAAATGACTAGATAGAACAGGAAAAACCTCAATCAAAAAGAAAGCAGAAAATATTAAAACCTGAAAAAAAGAGTTTAGAATGGGTCAACAGGGAGAGCATGTTAACCTAACTACATCTTCTACAATCAACTTTATAATGCTCTCTGTCTGAGAACAAGGCTAGTCACGTCCCTGGACTTTGACCAGAAGGGATTCATAAGAGGCGTAATTCATGTGGTATCCTGCACATGGGTTTGGGGCTTCCACTGTCATCCATGCCCTTCTGCAAATCAGGTGTTCATAATTTAAGTTCTGATATGACTTTATGCTTCAAATTTGGATTTTATTGTTTACAGTCCTTGGATCGCACAGGCTGGTGTGTTTCTTCCATGTGTACTTGACTCCAGAAACGATTCTTTTTGATAGCCAGGCACCATCTGGTTTCTTCACCATACTTTGCTATAGAACTCATATCTTCAGTAATTCCTTCAGGAAGCCGAGCATTACATGATAGAATTTTGCAAAACCAACAACTTCTTCATGTCAGATACCCCTTTTCAAAAACACAAAAGACAACTCTCCACAACATAGGCTTCTCCAGCTGGAACACACAGAAATACAATGGACTCTATCTGTGGGAAGAGATGATGGAGAAGCTCAATATCAGCAGCTCAAACTAGACCAGAGGCTGACTGGAGCAGATCTCCCATTGCTCATATGTCAGTTCTGGTTGAAGTAGAAGAAAATGAAAGGCCTACGAGAGCCAAAATACAACCTT